TAAAGATGCTTTAAAAAAAGAAAAAAAATATATTTGTTGTGTTAATAGTAACTAAAGGTTAATTACTTTTTGTGTTAATAGTAACTAAAAATAATTTATTCTTTCAAATAATGGTAACTAAGAAATATTTATTTGTTGCGTTAATAGTAAACAAAGGTTATTAATTCTTTGTGGTAATGGTAACTAAAAGTTATCTTTTTGTGTCAATTTTAATAAAATGTTGTTTATCCTAGTGTTAATTGCAATTAAAGGTTATTTATTGTTTGCGTCATCAATTATAATCAAAGGTTATTTATTTACAATTATAATGGTGTAACTTCAAGTATGTTAAATATGTATTATAAAATAAATGTGTAATGCATTCATCAATCTAAAATGAAATCAGATAAAGTGACAAGCAGCAATATTTTTCAGTAAATTAGTAAAAAGTCAAAAGTAAAAAACAATTATAACTAATTATTAAACAACTTGAAAAGACTTTAATTAGCTCTAACATCAGTCAATAAGCAATATATGGATTTAAGTTGGTAATGACAAAAAGTGTTTTGCAAAATGAGTAACATCCTGCAGAAGTTAAAAAGTTCAATATTAATCAAGTGAAAATTAATTGCCTCTCACGATGGATATGGTCATCAAAATGAAGTTAAAACAATTTTGAAACAAAGTATACTAAAATAAAAAATGTAGTTTAAAAAACAGTAAATGATGAATAAAAATATGAAAAACAAGTATTAATATGTTCATGTGAATAAAATCAAAAATTTAATTCTTTTAAAACTTAAAAAAACTTAAAAAACTTGCAGCCTTGTTGAAGCTGAAGATTTAAAAAAAGATATTTATCATAAAAAATACTTTTTTAAAAAAAAGATAAGTTATATTTATATTTATAGTTCTTTAAATAAACATTTTGGTAAAGCAATAAATGCAGTTGTTATGACATTATATATCTTGCAGATCTGTATGGTCGGTATGAACATATTTTCAGACATTTTCTGTTGAAATAAAATGTCCCACATTTTCTATCAACTTATTTTGACATATTTTGTGACTGAATTATTTTCTGCTGACATAAAATATGTCAAACATATTTTCTATTAATTTATTTTTGATATAACTTTATGTCTGAATTGTTTTTTGATGACATAAAATATTGCTGACATGTTTTCTGTAAACATTTTTATAATCTTTTCTTTCACTTAACATGGACTCTTTCTCAACTTTCCTTGTCATTGAAGCGACACCTAAAAACTAACCTTTTATATAAAAATTTGCTTCTAAAGTGCTTGCAGGTTTGTTTTAATATGAAAAAGTAATTGTAATTCATTAATAAATGTTTAAATTTTAAAACCGGTTAATACTGCGGTTGTGGGTTTGTATCTTTTTTTTTTATACTTTCTTTTTGAAAAAAAAAATTTTTTTTTAATAAAATTGAAAAGTATAACTTACAACATAACTTCGTCTTTTATATAAAACAATTTTATCTTTTAAAAAAATATATTCCGCTCCTTTAATCCGGGAGGCATAATAAGTGCAAAATGGCGTAAGTGCGAACTACCATGAGCGAAATAACAACTTGCGTTTTCCAATATTTGCAATTTTATTTGACGCACTTATGCCAGTTCGCACTTTTATCTGGGAGGCATAATAAGCGCGTATTGGCATAAGTGCAAACTAGCATAAGTGCGATGTGTTGCAAAAACTGGCACAAGTGCAAACTGGCATAAGTGCGAATCGGCATAAGAGCAAAATAACAATTTGCGTTATGCTAACATTTTCAATTTTATTCGGCGCACTTATGCCAGTTCGCGCTTATGTCAATGTTTGCAAATTCCTTTGGGCTCACAGGCCTTGCGATGAATAAGAACTGCGCGACGCATAAGCACGATGTGATTTTTGACGTCATTAAATTCTTTTTATTTGCTTTTCATATTTATTGACATTAACTGCACCAATTTACTTAATTACCGCAAAACTACTTTAAATCGTTTATGTAGAATTGTTATTATTTAAAAATGTTTTGGAATGTTTCGTTTTTTAAAATGTAAAAACATTTGTTTATTTTCTCGACGTTTGTCATGATTTGTCTATACTAAACGAATAAAAAACATTATAACTTAAATTTAAAAAAGATTATAAAATATGCTAATATTTGATTTTTTTTTTCTTAAATATGTAATTTAAAGTTTTTCAAATAATTTTTTTTTTTTAAAAAGTCAGCAAATAATAAACTGGAAATTTTAATATAGTAAGATTAAAAACTGTGCAATAGCTAATATTTTTACAAGCGATTTTATATAATATTTATTTATTTATTTTTATTTATTTTCATAAAGCGGTTGATAAGCACAATCACTCGTATTAATAAAAAACTTAAACGAACGTTTTGAATAGATTTTTAATGATAAGAAGGAATTTTATTTCAAGTAAAATAAAATAAAATGTTAGAATAAAAATCTTATAGGTATAAAAAAAATTTTTCAGCGAAAAAATTATTCTTAAAAATTATTCTTAAAAATTATTCGAAAAACTATTGACGTTCTATTTTTTAGCAGCTGTTCTTGAGCACGCTTCGTTGAGTTTCGGTAACTTTTAACATAAAAGCGATCGTTATTATTTAAGTAATTTTTTTGAGTTACTTTTTACAAAAATTTTAATAACTGTACTTTTTTATTGAATCAAGTAGAATACGTTTTAATATTAATCCTTTTTTATTTTTTTATTTGTCCTCACCAATTTTTAAAATGTTTCCTCGAAATTACTCTTAAATACTTTAAATACGTCTAACAGTTAATAAATATTTTTAAATCTATGGAATAATTTTAAAACCTAACAAACCCCGTAAAATAATTATTTAAGTTTAAAATCTAAAACTAAAAGAAAGTATTTTTGTTCAATTTTATCGACAACTTAGCTATTGCTAAATAATTTTAATTAAATGTTAGCTTAAAAGATTTAAACCTTTTTTTTAATTTTTGAATTTTTTCTACTTGTAAATAATGAGCATTTTAATTTTTTTAAATTCAAACTTTTATTTCAACTGCGTGCGGTTTTTAAAATACTTTATTAAATGTTAAAATAATCGAAAATTACTTCATTAAAATTCCGCTCAAAAATATCTTTAAATATACTCAAACAAAAATTTTTTTGCTCGACGCAAATAGCCCTAGCTACACGCAAAATCGCTCTTGGACGACGTAAAATTCACATCGCTCGATGCTTTATCGCAAGCCCTGGGCTCACTTACTCCAGTTCGCTCTTGTGCCAGTTTTGCCCTTATGTCAATTTGCATTAATGCCAGTTTGTACTTACACCATTCGCATTTAGCGAATTTTAGATTTAATTTCAAATGTTTTGACATTGCTAAATATTGTGACTCTCTGTAAAGATAAAAAGTAGAAAAAAATTTATAGCAAAAACATTTGCTAAAAAATTTAGTATTTTATAATCTTTTTTTTCACTTAATATGATCTTTTACTCAACTTTCTTTGTCGTCCATAGCCTGCTAAAAACTAACATATTATACAAAACTTTCCAGAAAATTGCTTGTGGGTTTGTTTAACATAGTCGTATTAATCTCATAACAAATCTTTTTATTTTTAAAATAGGCTAATATTGCTTGTGGGTTTGTATTTTTTTTTTAAATATTTTGTTCTCTACAAAAAATAATTTTTTTTATTTAAAAATTGGCTAAGATTGCTTGTGGGTTTTTATTTCTTTTTAAATCTTTTTAAAAATTATTTTTTTTTGAAAAATTATTTTTTTAATAAAAATGAAAAAGTAACTTACAAAGTTATGTTAGCTTTGTTTAATATAAAAATATAATACATCTGTGGGAGGATGCAGATTGCAATGCAAATGAAATATTTGTGCTTTATGTTATTTTACTTTTATATAAAAAAATTTTATCTTTGAAAAGAAAAATATTCCGCTCCTTTAATCAGCAAATACTCCGTTTCTTTAGGATAAAAAGCTTGACTTAATTACAAATCTCTAGACAAACGCATCGCTAAATACCGTAACTCTCTGTAAAGACTAAAAAGTAGAAAATAAAATATAGCAAAAACATTTGCTAAAAACATAATCTTTTTGTACTAAAAAGTAGAAAATAAGCTTTTTAATTTAAATTTAACAGTTCTGTAAACTAAAGATTGACAGGTATTTTTTAAATAAACCTTGTGCAGACCTTTAGTTTACGGAACTATTAAACTAAAGATTGACAGGTATTTTTTAAATAAACCTTGCGCAGACCTTTAGTTTACGGAACTATTCAATTTAATTTAAAAAGTTTATTTTCTACTTTTTAGTACAAAAAGATTATGTTTTTAGCAAATGTTTTTGCTATTTTTTTTTTGAGATAATTTTATGTCTGAATTTTATGCTGTTTTATATTCTTGAATAACAAATCTAACTAATTTGTTAACATATTTTCATATTATTTAGTAAGTTATTCTGAAATAAATTACTAAATTGTTAGTTTAATTTTTATTTCAAGCCTGTTTATTTATTTTTATTCATAATGCTGGATAATATTGGAATATATAATTTATTGATTTTTTAGCTTGTTTGCCCATTATGTCTATATATATATATATATATATATATATATATATATATATATATATATATATATATATATATATATATATATATATATATATATATATATATATATATATATATATATATATATATATATATATATATTACACTTTTTAATTAAATGTTACACTTTAATTAAAAATTGAAGACTGCACAACACTTTTACGATATATAGAGTAGATTTTTGTATTTGTAGAATTTTTATTTAAGTTTGTAATTTTATATTTATTTGTAATACAGAGTGTTATGATATAACAATAAACTATTAAATGCTTAAAAACTACATAATAACTCTATAATTAAAAAAATTATTTATGTATATATAAAATGAATTTATGTATATATAACACTTGCTTAATACTGTCTAAATGGCTTTATCATAAAATTTTATATTATTTTAGAAATGTTATGGAAAGCACCTGAACATATTGAAAATAAACAATTTCCTTATTCACAATATGGCGATGTATACAGTTATGGTATAATAATGCAAGAAATTATCACACGAGACTTGCCATTTTCAATGTTTACAAATCTAAGCTCAAAAGGTTTGTGAATTAAAATAGGTTTTTCAAACATTTTGTCAGAATGAATAAATTAGTTTTATAAATAAATATACAGTTGTATTTAAATTTCCTTGCATCCTGCTCAAAATGACCTATGTACATTTTAGTCAGAACAGGTGCTATTGGAGATCCCATGGCCACACAATCAATTAGATCATAATATATAAAAGCCTATGGCTGTCAGAACTACATTATATAAAGGCTGTAAATTTCTTGGTGCATGCTCCCAACTCAAGTATATTGCTCTATTATTGGTACAAATGTCAACTATGTACTTTAGATCTTGTCAATTTGGTTGGTAATAGGTACCAAAGGTGTTAAATACCGGCTTGATTATGTCAAATCATAAACCATAATTTTAAGATAATTTTTTTTGGTATAGTGTTATAAATCATGCCATCCATTGCCAAATACTTATCATAGTGCAACCTCCTCGCCAGACACTTTAAAACTTCAAAACTGTATTTATGTTATAGTATAAAAGTAGAAATTTATACATGTCACTTAGGTAACTATTTTTTGATTTGTATTTGGTAAAATATGTTTGAAGATATTTTTGATGGTTATATTTGTTGCAGGTCTGGGTGCAAAGGCAATGGAAAAACACACTAACATAAACAAAGTATGCCTGTCTGTGATAAATATGCAATTAAAGCTGTTGCAAAACCACCAGCTCGCCCACAGCAATGTTCTATCATATTTGTTGAAGAGTTGCAATTAGAAAAGAAAGCAGAGGTTATGTAGGCAGTTGATGTTGTACTTTCAAAACATTCTTTTCGATCAAATCAAGTCTGAATTATATACTGCAATGTTTAGTGATAGTCAAATAACTAAACAATTTTCTTGCGGGAAAACACTGTGCATTAATCTTGTGTGTTGAGGAGTTGCACCGTATTTTAAGTGCAAGAAATTATCAGAGCTTGATCAGTTAGTTTTCCAATTCAATGAATCTTACAACTAAATTGTTGAGAAGAATCAAATGGAATTGCACATTAGGTATTGGAACTCCTCATTAAAGATGGTAAAAATAAGATATTATAATTTTTGGTAAAAGCTCCTGCTTTCAACATTATGATGAATTTCTGTAAATGATTAAGTGGTTTAGAAGATAAAATGCTCCAGGTTTCCATGGATGGTCTAAATTTTAGTATGTCTTTCCTCTCTAATTTAAATGCTAAAAGAAGTGAATATGAACTCAAGCAGCTAATATCAATTAGATCACGCGGCCTTTAAACAATGCACTATTGATTCAAGCATAGTACAAATGCTTCAGTGTGGAAATTAAAACCTGGTCATTTTAAACCTGGGCAAAATTTATAAGAAAAAAAGTTTTGACTGAAATACCCATAACTTTTAAATATATATATATATATATATATATATATATATATATATATATATATATATATATATATATATATATATATATATATATATATATATATATATATATGTATGTATATATATATATATATATATATATATATATATATATATATATATATATATATATATATATGTATGTATATATATATATATATATATATATATATATATATATATATATATATATATATATATATATATAGATAGATAGATAGATAGATTAACCTTTGGTACCTAGTGCCAGCCAAAGCCACCATTAACAAAAGTACATAATGGACATTTATTTCTACTAGTGTTAGAAGCATCTGCTGCAAAATTTTCAGTCTTTATAAAATAGCGTAGTCTAACTGCCATGGGCTCTTAGACTATAAGTTTTTCCTTTAATAAAGATGTGTTTGAAAAGTGGAAAAGTTTGATGTGTCACATCATGAGACTAAAAATTATTTGTGGAGATTGACCTGAATTATTTCTTAAACTTGGCTTGTTGATAATTGTAGGTACTAATTAGGTAACTATTTCATTCGTTATTATGATGTTGTAAGTGTCTTTAAAGTAAAAAGGAGTTTATTTAAGTTTTTAGTTTTATATTTTAATTGGAAACTTTTTTTTTAAATTTATTCTAAAAACAAAAGAACTTTCTTAATAATTTAACTTAAATAATTTTATAGTTGTGTTTCTAACTATGTGAAATATTCTTAGGGTATAAATCCTGTGGGTGTTAGTCCTGTGAGTGTTAGGGTATAAATCCTGTGGGTGTTAGTCCTGTGAGTGTTAGGGTATAAATCCTGTGGGTGTTAGTCCTGTGAGTGTTAGGGTATAAATCCTGTGGGTGTTAGCCCTGTGGGTGTTAGAGTATAAATCCTGTATAAGAGTATAATTAGGTTATATTTTGGGTATATTTACCCAATTAAATATAAGGGTATTATTAGGGTATAAATTGGGTATATTTTAAAGGGTATACCCTTGGGTATAAATTGAGTGTTAATTGGGTATATTTGTATAATTAGGGTATAAATCCTGTGGGCATCCCTGCTCTCAGTTGATGTAACAACATACCTTTCATGTTCTACCTATTTCTCAGTTAATTTATGTTTTTATTTTTATTAAAAAAATAAAAATCATTACAGTCTATTAAGTTGCGTTTTCGTGGTTTTTTGAAAATGATAAAGTTTAATTAGTTTCCTCAATTAAATATGTTTTTTACATAAAGTATACTTGATTTTGTCAATATATATTAACTCCACTTGTTTTTAAAGACTTTAGATGGTTTGCATATCTATTTGTAATATATAATTTAAATGGGGTTTGACTTAATTCAAAGTTATTTTAATTTTATTGTCAGTATCACTAGTGCTTGTTGTTAATTTTGTTGGATAAAGAATATTTTTTTAATGAGCAAAAGGTTTTGTCTGTGCAGTTTCTAAAATTATACATTCATTGAAGTTGCTTTAAAATATCTGCTCAAATTCAGAACCATAGTGATATCACAATGTTTGGTATATATTTATCCCATATTTTTTCTTATCTGCATTAACAATTTTAGCTTATAAATGCCTTTATTTTCTGATAATACCATAGTATTTCAGATAATACCATGGTATTTCAGATAAAACCTTAGTATTTCAGATAATACCATAGTATTTCAGATAACACTATAGTATTTCAGATAATACCATTTCATTAGTATTTAATATTTCAGTCTTAAAACAAAGTCATTAAACTTTGATCATTGTGTTCAAAAATTGTTGCTCTTCTAGTTTCCCAGCATTGTGTAGTGTAGTCAAAAGTCTTCATGATTTCCATCACCATAAATAATTATTTTATTATAGAACATTATATAGCTTATCCTTTGGATCTTTAGAGATTATAGTTTTCTATTATAATTAAGAAGAATTTTATTTTAAGTATTCTTGTATGTATGTACATAAATTTGTAATTTTATTTTTAGTTTTTTTGTTCTTTTTGGTTATTTTTTATGTGGAATGTGAAATTCCAAAAATGTACTTTTTCTCCATTTTTAATGGAGTTAAAAATAGAGAAAAAAGAATAAAAAAAAAAAAAAATAAAAAAAGTATGTTAGGAATTCTTGAGTTTGAATTCCCTGGTTATTATTTTACATTAAAAATTAGGCTTAGATAATTATGGGTTTATGATGCTTAAAGTAATTGAACTTTTTTGTCTTATTAACTTTTAAATCTCTTGAACATTTTTTGAAATAAATGTTCTTTCTTTTTATTTATACAACGTGTTTTTACTTAAACAACTTTGTTTTTATTTATACAACAAGTATAGTTATGTAGTTAGTATTTTGTTTGATTAGTTCCAAGACATCTCCTAATTCATTGATTTCTTCGGAATTAATGACCTAGGAGACTTGGAATAATAAACTAAAATTTGCTAATTTTACTAATTACAATTTCTTTAACTTTTATTTATTCCTTGGCAAGATTATTGTTTAATTCACTTCTAATTTAAGCTTTAACTTATTAGATTTTTTATTCTTGTTTTTTCCTGTTTTTAGTAGGTTTAAACAACATTTTTTTTAGTAGGTTTTTGGCATTTTTTTATTATGTTGTATTGAAAAAGAATTGATGATGAGATATATAGAACTATTAGAATTATTAAAGATATTTTTTTTCTGTTCTAGTAGATTTTTTACATGCATATATACTTTCTGGCTGATCACTAACATTCAGTTGATGTGTTATGTACTAAAGACCTAGGATATTCTACACTTTACGATATTCTATACTTTAGGATATTCTAGTTTTTAGGGTATTCTGCATTGGCAATTTTAAACCTAGGTTGTTCAACACTGACGGTTTTAGATTTTGAAACTTAACAAGCGAAAAATAATATATCTAATATTAACTATTTAATTTTTTAATAGTTAATATTGATTTAATAATAACTTAATTTTAAAGTTTTTAAAACAATAAAGTTTTTAAAAAAATGCAACAAAATGTTTGTTTTAAATCGGCCTTTACTGTATTTGCTGTACAGAAAATGTCTTCTTATGTCTTCTTAAAATCAAAAAAAAAGGAAATGCCTTCTTAAAATAAAAATAATTAAAATGTCTTCTTAAAATTCGCAATTTACTAGTCTAGTTTATATTCTTATAAACAAGCATTAGAAATTTTTGTTTATAAAAATATTGATTTTACTATGATAAACATAACATGATAAACATAACACAATTAACATAACACAATAAACATTTGCTTTTTGAAAATTCCTTGTAACTAACATTAATATCAACTTCAAATGTAAATTTTTAAAAATTTTCTATAAGTTTTAAAAAGCGCATTTTTTTAAAAATTTAGAAAAAGTTTATCTTGTTAAAAAAAGAACAAAACCAGTTTTTCGGCCAATAGTAAATGAAAATCTTGGAACATCTGATTACCAATTACTAATGAGACAATGTTGGGAGGACTGGCCAGAGTCGAGACCAAATTTTTATGAAATTAACAAGAGGTTGAAGTTATGTGGGGGAAAGTATGTTTTTTATAATCTCTTATCTTTTTACTTTGCATTTTTTTATTTACAATTTCAATATTTTTTTCTTATTATTAGTTTTACAATTAAATTTGATAATTACACTGATTATTTCAAAAATTGAAATATCAGTGTTATAATGTATATTTAATGTTATTTTTATAATATTTATATTACCTGAGCTTTAAGTTTTATTATTCTTATAATATTGTTTACTCTTACATTATTATTTTAATAGAAACATCAGCATAGTTGATAATATGATGAACATGATGGAAAAGTATGCAAACCAGCTTGAAGATTTAGTTTTTGAGAGAACATTCTTATTGGAGGAAGAAAAAGCCAAAACTGATAACTTACTCTACAGCATGTTGCCAAAGTACTTTTTTTTATATTGTTGTCTTGTTACCTAAGTTATTATGCTCTTATATATTATATTATTGTTTACTTTTTATTCTTTTATATAAGTTTATTTTAAGTTATTTTTTACTTTTCAGTCTGATAAGTTTTTTACTAGATCTGTTGCTGAACAACTTAAGCTTGGTAAACCTGTAAAAGCTGAATCATTTGATATGGTTACTATTTTATTCAGCGACATAGTGGGATTTACAAAACTTGCATCTGAATGTACTCCTTTTCAGGTGAATTTATTTTAGTTTTAAAAATTGGAATGTAGCTTGGTAATAATTAAAAATGGAAAGTTATAACTGGTAAATAAGAGAATAGAAAAAATATGTAAATTATGTTTGGAAAAAATTATTTATTCCTTAAGTAGTATGGAATAAACAATTTTTTAAATGTATTTCATAGTTTTTTAAATTAATTTTAAATTTTTTCTAAGGTGGTTGATCTTTTAAATGGTTTGTATACTTGCTTTGATAACATTTGTGACACATACTCTGTTTATAAAGTAAGCCATATTTATTTTTATAAAGTAAGCCATATTTATTTATTTATTACTATAATGAATTATGCTAAATGATTTATTTATTTGATCAGTTTTGGAGGCTGTAATGTAGTTAACAATTACTTAACTAAATTTACCAGACCAGACCTTGACATGTAAGAGAATTAGCTTTGTCTGCAACTCTAACGTTTTTATTCTAGTTCCTTGTTGTTGTTTTTTGAGAAGTGTTTCAAACATACAGGGGTGGGACCGCAAAATGTGAACGTTTTTGTTTTATTATAACTATTTTCTCGTTAGATGTAGTTGTACTCTCTCACTCATCAGAAAGTGTCTAAAGAGTTGTTAAATATGAACTATTATAAATAAGAATGTCCAACCATTGGACATTCTTATTTAAAATAGTTCATATTTAACAGAAAATTAATTATTACAATCAGAAAAGTGTTCACATTTTGCGGTCCCACCCCTGTACATTTAAATTTATAAAAATTATCATCATCAATTACATATTTTATAATGTTTGTAAATAAAAAAAGTAATTTTAATGCATTTAAAATTTTGAAACAAAAAAAAAGTAAGTTGAATAACTTTAAACAAGTGAATACATAGTTATGATAATAATAAGTAAATAAATAAAATATAATATTCTTTTTCATGCTTTCTTAAACAAGCATCAATTTTAAATCTATTGTGCAACAAATTTTAAATTAAAAAAAAAATCATGAAATATCTTTTTCTAATTCAACTGTGCTGATTTAAAATCTGAAATCAGTTTAGCTTTTTAGCAGTTAAGAAGTTAAAAGTTAAGATCTTTCACAAGAGGTGATTTGTGATGGACACTTCACCCTTAACTTGTTTGAAAAATTATTATTTCTTTTGTATAATATGTCACGGAGGTTGTAACATAATTCTGTGTACATAATTAATTAAAGCAGTAATACTGCTTTAATTAATTATGTACACAGAATTATTATGCTTTATTAGTTTTTTTATAACTAATCTCTGCTATCTCATCATCATTGTTTGTGCATTATTATGGAATCATCCTAATAGGTTCCATTCCATCATGTTAGTTAGCTCCACATTCCCCCAAATACCTGTGCCTGTAGCACTAACATAAACAGTCGCAGATAACTGGGAGAAACAGATAATGCCTGTCTTAGCTCCACTTTATCATATCTATCAAAAGCACCAATGATGATGGTGATATTCTAGTTAGTCAGGATACACAAAACACTGTTGTTTTTCTTTTGCTTCTGGTATAGTTATAATTATGTTAAGTACTATATATGGTATGATTGGCCACTGTGCAATATGGATATTCCTGGTACCAGTATCATCAACAAGCTTCATGTTGTGCTACCAAGCAAACAACTTATCATAAACCATAGAACATTGTAGCTAATATTTCAACTGAATCTCTATATGAAATTTATGTAAAAAAAAACATTGTTTTTGATGACGATTAGTACAATTGTGTAAACAAACTTTTTTTTTTAATTAATTCTTTTTTATATTTTTGATGCCAATCTAGTTTGTGAAAGTAATTATAGTAATCATGATAAAGAAATGATAGTAATATGGGTATAATAAAGATAATATTATACTTATATACAGTTCTATACAATGTAATTATTTTTTATAATCTAGTGAGATTAAATGGTACTTGGTACCAATTAATAGAGGTATTTGGCTCATGAAAAAAAGCTAGTAGAAGTATTTAGTTCTAGGTGAACAACTGATAGAGGTATTTGGTTCAAGGTAAACAATTAATAGAGGTATTTGGTTCTAGGTGAACAACTAATAGAGGTATTTGGTCTAGGTAAAGAGTCGTTTGGTTCTAGGTAACTTATTTTCTTGAAAGTAGGTTTACAAAAATCTTGAAATTGTAATCTATATAAATCTAAATAATTTAATTTAGTTTAAAAATTTTATTTTTTGTTGATGGTTACAATAGTTTTAACAAGAATAAAACTAATTAAAATCAACACATTTAACAATTATAGACAATACACACTCACATGAAAGTGGTTAAAAAAAAAGAAAAAATGTCCACATATATATAGTCAATTTGCAATTCAATTTTTAAATAGTGTTTAAAAACAAAAAGCATACTACAATTTACAAAATTATAATATAAATTACAAATAATATTAAAATATTCAAATTACAATTGTTTCATTAAAGAAAAATGAGTAAATATTGTATTATAATGTCAGGATAAATAAAAATAATAATTAAAAACGACAGATTTTACAATAACAATTTGTTACATACCAATTTTTGATATGTTTTTTGAACACCTCAGAACCTTTAGAGTACATGGTTTTGTTATCTAGAGTGTTCCATTACAAGATGGCTCTAAATAAAGTACAACATGTATCTTTATATTTGGAGCCATTTAAAGGTAGAATCATTTATTTGCTACAACGAAGTTTAAAAGGAAGGTTTTTTGTATTGAATAAATCCTTCATAAATTCTGGATTTAGACAATTGATTGATTTAAAAACTTCTATCATAAGAAAGCACAAATTTCTTAAGTGGATCTTTGGACTATTATCAAAACTTAACAATTCATCAAGAGATAAGTCTTTTTATGGACAATACAAATAGCTTTTTTTTATGAATTCTATTTATAAGGTTGTCATAGTATTTAGAACAAAACATCCAAATTAGAGGACAATAAGAAAAATTTGACATAATGAAGCCGTTAAACAATAAAGTAGCTTTATTACAGGATAAAAAATTTCTTATGCATGAAAGAGCAAAACATTTACCATTAGCTTAACTGCATAAGTATTTAATGTATTCTCCAAAATTTAGATTCTTATCAATTGTAACACCAAGTAGTTTTACCCTATCAGAGGCAAAAACTCTTATATTACCTACTTTTAGGTATAGATTTTTGGTTTTTTTTTAAACCAACTAAAAGTAATTGGAATTTATCAGGGTTAGCAACCATTGAGTTCAACTTAAACCAGGCAATGGTATTAGTTGTTTCTTTTTGCAATCAAAAAATAACCTTTTCTAAGCTGTAATCACATTCATACAGCATATTATCATCTGCAAAATTTTGTATTATCATTAAATAATGAATACCTCAGCTTTGAAAATTTATTAATACAATAGACATAGTTAGATAGTAATTGTTTTAATAGCGCATTATTTGCCATTGCGTTATCCTTTAAAAAATGTGTTATCATATTTTTTAATAAATATTGCAGTGCAACAGAACTAATTTCCAAACTCACTACTCTAAATTATCAAAAAGTTTTTAAAATGAGAAAAATACTTTTTATCAAGTACCGACTATGCAAAGTTGATTAGCAACCATTTAGCTGCAACAAGTTTAAGAGATTAGTGCCAACAAGTTACATTTAATTTTTATATTGCAATATTTTGTAGTATATACAGCCGTATGACAATTTATTATGACCACCTATTAATTTTGATCATCTTTTAATATATTCTTACATTTTTATATGAAGAATAAAAATTCATTATAATTTAATCTTTTGATTAAAATGATGTTTAAAAGTAGCAAAAAAAAAAGACTCATAAATTAGTCATTTTTGTTTGCTACTGGCAACACTGTTACTTTAGCCATTATGTATGTTGTCATTTTATTAATAATCTTTTTGCTGTGCACTTGTTGAGTTTATTACCGGAATTTTTAATTTGTTTTCGAGAGTTATCTTCAAAATATTTAAATCAGTAAAAATATTGTTCCTCAAATATTTTTACTGATTTAAATAAAGTAAAAGTAATTGCATTTGGTGTGATAATTTTAAAGTTATGAGCAGGGCTTTGAAGTTGGAGTTGTGGAGGCGGAGTCACAACATTTTAGTGGGGTTGGAGTCACTGAACAAAATTGCGACTCTGACTTCATTTTATTAGTTGGTTGGGTAGAAAACTTTCCTGACCTAAATCCTATAGAAAATGTTTGGACACTCATAACAAAGGAAATATCTAAAGAAAATATTACAAATAAGGTATATTTAACAGAAAGAGTTATTCATTTCCGGAACCACAATAAAAGAACAGGAAATGACAGAAAATGCATCAAAAAAATGCCAAAAAGGGTTCTTGCTGTTATTGAGGCAAAAAGGGGAATTACCAAATATTGATCTTGAATATATTTGCAGTAATTTACTATAATAAAATTTATTTTCAATTTGTTAAATTTTTATTTTTAATAAAAATTATTTTTGAGTACATAAATCACGAAAAAATATCAAAATTTAAAACTTTAAAACTTGGATATGTTAAAAGTTGTTGGTAACTATAATAAACTCTCACACGATTGCATAATATGATATATATATATATATATATATATACATATATATATATATGTATATATATATATATATATATATATATATATATATATATATATATATATATATATATATATATATATATATATATATATATGTATATATATATATATATATATATACATACACATATATATATATGTAAACAAATATTTATATGTAAACAAATATATATATATATATATGTTTATATATATATATATACATATAGTAATATTTTATAGTATATAATATATATTTTTTAGTATATATGCAGAGCCTTGGCTAAGCTCCCCTAGACCCCATATTGGAGGAGGGGGGTAAGGTGCTTGCAATATTAGGAGGCTTATTTGCAAATGTAAAAAGATTTTTTTTTTTTTCTATAATACCTAATGGAAAAAAATATAGTAATAATTATGTTGTAATAATTTGATACACGCGAATAGCAACAAGTTTGATTTTAAGTTTTTTTACCTAGATCTAATTTTTAGGTAGAAACTATAGGTGATGCTTACATGGTTGTTTCAGGACTCCCCGATAGAACTATTGACACCCATGCAGGGGAAATAGCTCGAATGTCATTGAATTTACTTTTTTCTACTACAACATTTTGTATTCCTCATCTTCCAGAAACAAAAGTTCAAATTAGAATAGGAATTCATTCAGGTTACTTTTTTTTAGTGATTATGCATTAAACTTAACACATTTAAAAGCTTAAAAGAATAATTTTTGGTGTTTAATAAAATATATTTGAACATATAAAAAAGCAGTTATGTCTGTTGTTTTAAGGTCCTGTAGTTGCTGGTGTGGTTGGTTTAAAAATGCCTCGCTATTGCTTATTTGGAGACACAGTTAACTATGCTTCACGCATGGAGTCTACCGGATTAGGTTAGTGCTATTCAAAAAAATTTTAATTTATTATTTAGATTAATTGTTTTAACTTTTATAATTATTATTAATACTATTTTTTACAATATTTTGTGTATAAAAGTTTCATTTAACAAATTTCTTTTCTTTTCTTTTTTTTGTAGCACTTCGCGTTCATGTTAGTCCTGAATGTAAATCTTTATTATTAAAACTTGGAGGCTTTCATTTGGTAGAAAGAGGGCCAGTATTGCTGAAAGTAACTTATTTGTGTTGTTTAAATTATTAAATACCATAAGTGTTATGTCTTTATTTTTACAAAAACCGTTATAATATTAGTAATTTTTGATCTAAGATAGTATGTTCCTCTAAGAATGTTAATATGTTCCTCTAAGAATGTTGATATGTTTAATATTTAAATAATAAAACAATCCCAATAAAAAACCGATTATTTTGTTTCAAAATATTTTGTCTCTGACTGTCTGCCAAAATATTTTGTGTCTGAAATCTTGCGCTAGACAAATATTTCTTTCAGAGCAGTAATTTGTGCACTGAATATTTAAAACAAAATCTTTAGAAAAACTTGAAGCTGGGATGAAGATCTACAAACTTTCCATCAGAAATTCAAAATGATATATCTTTTATATTAAGATTGAGTATGAAAAAACGTATACCAGATGTTTTTCCCAATAAAATTGTGCAAATGAGTGTTCTTGTTAATGATTATATTATTACTGGTTTATTTATTTCAAAATAAGAAATGTCCATAGGATAGGGATAATTAATATCTTTCTGTAACATTAGGAAATTCTCTTCATTAGGCACACCTGGATTTGCTAACGATACAATAACAACATCTTCAGCCAAGTACCATGTATGTCGAAGAACAGAATTTTTCAGGCTTTTGCATAATATTTTGTCTTCTTCCTCTATACTTTCAGCTACTTTAATAGCTTTAAGATCATTAGATAGTGCCTGGATTATGATGGATACTTTAGAAACCAAGGAATATAAAAGCTGCTAAAGGTGCAATTTTATTGACATCTTCTATTTTCTTTATTGACATAAATTTTAGTTTCTTATAAGTTAGTTGAAGCATAAATAAATATCCCATTTGTCATAAATCTAGCTTCATGACAAGCAAGGGGTTGATGAAGGTAGAAATTTGTTACTATGTTACCCAAATAGAAAGAACCTAGTTCACATAATCTTATATAGTCTGTTCTCATTTTGGAAAAGGTGTTCAAGGTAATGGCATTTTTTAAGTTTCTTGTGCAATCTGATGCATGTAAGAATTATTTTTTAAAATGTTGAAATTAAATCCGTCTAATAAGTTAATATCTTCATTGCGTACCTAAAAATTTTCTGGCCATTATTTTTTAAGATTTAAAAACAGCTGTTTTTATGTTGTCTTAGTCTTTCCTGTTAGCCCTTGTAATAAATGACTGATGTGTCTCTCATATATGATTCAACGACATAAAAACCACATAATGTGCTTCCCGACAACATACCTACATATAAGTTTGATTCCTCCATTATGTGCACCAGTGTTTGAAGCAGTTGTGTCACTACAAACAGCAAAATGTTATCTTCAATTTCGAAATCTATTAATACCTTTTTTATTTTATTTTTTTATTGGTCTTTGCCTTTAGATGAATTTGCATGAAACACTTTTAGCAGAATATCACTATTATTATCATCCTAAGGAAATTGCTAACTGCAATCCTTTTAATTTTAACAGTAATATTTTAAGATCCCATTCATTTCACAATTTACCATTGAAGTTAAGCCAGAGTTTCTTACTGAATAAATTAATTTTATAACTATTTATAAAATCTCCCCCTTTGTTTTTGTGGTATGAAATGTTTTTCTGTGGGTTCCTAGTTTTGACAAATAATATTTTCCAAATTATGCCCTGCATGCTTTAGAATTGAGGAAAGAATTGTTGTATGACCTCTTACTCAAAAGAATTGATGTATGACCTCAAGATGAAATCAAGTAGCAATTTCACTTGTTGCTTTTATTAATTCTTCGTCTGATATTGACAGGTGCAATTCCTTTTTTTCTTCTTGTTAACAGAGAAATTTTCTTCCCTAAATACATTGAAAAATTAATCATTACATGAAATTGACTAAAAATTACATGAAATTGACTAAAAAATTATTGAATCTGTATCAGAATCAGATTTCAAATAAATTTTTATCCTCTATGAACATTTCCAATTTTTGCTAACTATTTCTATGTTTAATTCTTATTTGGTAAATCATGTCAATATCCTTAGTTATACATTTTTCTAGTCAACATTTGATCGGTTAAGAGTTCTATGTCTTCTTTAATAGCATCAGGTGATCTGTTGTGATCAGATCACCTGATGCTAATTAAAATGTTGATTTTCATCACAATAATTTTGCAGCCTATGTTAAAAATTTTTTTTTGAAGTTTGGTTATAGTTGGTTTCAAGAATCGAAAGATTTTCTTTTGAAAAGAAGTTCAATAATATGAAAAAAAATATACAACTTACTCATTTACAACTTTAGGAGAGGGTGACAGTTAAAAGAAAAAACATAATTATCTATTGTAAACATATTGAGAATATCTTACTTTTTAAGATCTATTGGCTTTTCATAAAGAAGTCTCTTTAAAATCCCGCTTTGCACCAGATATTTACTACTTCTTTGACAAGACAATCTTTTATACTCTAATACAACTAGTGTTTGATTTTGTTGAATGTTATCTTTATTGCTTTGAGGAAATTATATGGCAATATCTTCTTAAAATGTCACCATTTGCGGGCAACTTGTATTTGGGAAGCTCTAAAATGGGTCTGTTAAAACGATACAATGGTCTCCTTGGGTTTTTTACAACATTGTTAATTTTTTTCCATATCTTCAAATTTTCTTTTTTTACAGCTTGTTTTTCTGTATTGTTTATTTCCATATTACTATTTATTTACAGTATCGGACAAAACAAGTGCAACCAAATAATGCTAATTTAGTTTCTTTATATAAGTGCTGCATTTTTTCAATTTAGAGAAATAACTATGTAACTGTTTAGAGACAACGTTTTTCAAATTTTATTCATCACAAAGTTCATTACTTGTACACGAAAATTAATAAATTAATCAAAGGTATTAAAAAAAGTTGAGTTCCTTCTGGACAAAACAAGTGCAACTCCACAAAATGTTGACCAAGCTGTATTTCGCTATCAATATTTTGTGGCGAATCCTTTGTTGTTGATCACAGCCTTGCATCTTTGAGGCATAGATTCAATCAGGTGATCAATCAAACTTTGTGGAATCGCTGCCCAGACCTTTTGGATTTGTTCAAACAGTTGATCCTTATTACGAACACCTTCACAATTAATTCTGCGGTTGACAATCTCCCACAGGTTCTCGATAGGGTTGAGATCGGGAGATTGAGGCGGCATATCCATCACCGATAGGTGGTTGTCTTGAAACCACTGCTTGACTACTTTTGCAGTATGTTTTGGATCGTTGTCTTGCTGAAAAACCCATTTTATTGGCATGTTCCATTCAGCATGAGGTAACATATCATCTTTCAGGATATTTTTATACATAAAACGGTTCATTATTTCATCGATTCGATGTATTGGACCTAGACCGTTAGCAGAAAAACACCCCCAGACTATTACATTGCCTCCACCATGCTTCACAGTCTTATGACAGTAACGTAAATTGAGGCGTTTTCCGGCCGGTCAATGTACAAGGCAAATGCCATCGCTCCCAATGATGTTGAACTTCTATTCATCACTAAACAGGATGCCATTTCTGCACATTCCAGTCAATATGAGGTCTAACAAACAAACAGGAGTCTTTTCTTCTTGTTCTTTAGTGAAATCAGCGGTTTCTTTGCAGGGCGTCGAAAAAACAATCCAGCTTCAACAGCATGTCGTCTGATTGTTTGGTCCGATACAGGCAACTCTAATTGCTTTTGTATCTCGACTGATGATATCCAGGGATCCTTCTTGACGGATCTGACAATCATAAAATCCTCTCTAAAAGTGGTGGAATGCGGTCTTCCACCTTTGTCAACTGCTGCAAACTTCCCCGTAGAACGATATTTGGAACATAGTCTTGATAGGGTCCATTTTTTCACGCGATATTTATCACAAATACTTTTTTGTGACATTCCGCTTACGTAATCGCCAATAATTTTCTTTCTTAGTTCCAATCCAAGACTGTCAGGAGCCATTTTTGCACTTGAAGTCATAAAAATAAATAATCACGCTTCTCAAGGCTTACCGTGTTACATTTACCTTGTGATGATACAATAATGCTCTGTGGAACACAATGTCTTGGTTGGATGTGGACTGTATTGATGTAATGAAACACTTGTTGTATTTCACTTCTTGTATTGATGTTCTTGGATAAAACACTTTGATAAAACTCACTTCGATAAACTGTCTTGATAATACTGACTGATTGACTTCCATATACTGACTGAATTACATGTCGGTTTACATGTCTCTTATAAAGTAAAATGAACCTGTGTGAACCTGTTCTGGAAGATTCTAGATGCTTCTTTTCAATGCTTCTGGAAGCTTCTGGATGCGTCTGGATGCTTCTGAATTTTTCTGGATACTTCTGGATGCTTTCAGATGCTTTTTCTGGAAACTTCTGGAAGCTTCTGCATGCTTCTGGAAACTTCTGGATACTTCCTTTAATTATTAAAAAACTTCCGTGACGTTGACATGGACCAGACTTATGAAAATGAAACAAACCAAAAAAGTTGCACTTGTTTTGTCCGCTGCAAAATGACACTTTTCAACGAAATTCTGCCTGTGCGCTGTTACCTGTCAGCTGATTGCTCATATCAAGGCATGCTGTGACTCCAGACTCTTAAACTGTTTGCTTTGATAGTATAGTTCGTTTCGTTTTTATGACATAAAATTAAGAACACTTTTTAGCATTGTTCGATGTTGGTTGCAAATGTTTTGTCCAATACTGTATATACCTAAAGAACATAAACTTTATTGTTATATTGATTTAATTAATGTATTAGGGTAACCAGGGGCAAAGCAAGACACTTTCAGGGAGAATGTTCATAACTTGAGAAGTACCACGTTTCACAACAAGAAATTTTGCAGGCTACTAGCACAATATGTGTTTAACGATCTCTTAAATATTTGTAGTGATAGGTTGTTGCATTGGTACATAATTAAACTCAAAATGGCAACAATTACCCTGTCTCACTTTCCCCAAAACTTAGGGCAAAATGAGACAGTTTTTATTTGAAGAAAAAACTAAGTAAAAATTTAGTTTTCAATAAAAATTAAAGCAGGCTTTGATAAATTCGATCTGATTAAATATAAGAATGCAAATAAAAGCACAATGATATCATTTTATAATGTAATTTTTCCTTTCAAATCAAAAAACATGATAGGAAAAAAATATCAATCAAAAATATAAAATAACAAAAAGTCAAAATCAAAAATAACATCAATAAAAAAATGCATATGCAAAGTTTCATGTTAGTCAACAAATTTAAATAAAATCTATTCACATAAAAAGCAAACATCGTTTAATGTGCAGCCTTCGTGTACCCATACAGTACATACACAACAAGCTATCCAGTCGATTTAGGTATTATTTCACCATTTCCCTTGACAAACTGGACAAAGCCATTTTTCTTCATTGTTTACAACTTTTTCAATCAAGCATTTCAATAATTTTCTTTTCTTTTTGTTCTTTTTTATATTTCTCTAATTTAATTTATTGTCATTGTTCTTTTCCAGTAATTTTTTTTTCTTATTGTTTTTATTTTTTTATTGTTTTTTTTTATTGTTTTCTTTTTTTTGTTGTTTTTTTTGTTTTCTTTCTTATTGTTTTTTTCTGATTGTTCTTTTCATAAAATGATGATAGTAAGTTAAACTTGCCAAGTTTATAAACTTGCTATCGTAAACGTTTACTTTGACGATTTATTAAGTTTATAAAGTTGCTTTCCTTAACGTTTACTTTGACAATCTTTTTCAGTAACTAGCGTTGTCGATCTTTCCCCTTGAAAGTGAAGTTATATATTTCTAAAATATCTTTGAAACAAAATAATCTGACATAAAAAGAAGAATGGGAGCTGAAAGATAACAAATAAATGATGACAAACTTAATAATATGTTTGTTCTGTGGTAAAAAATAACAGCGTACGTGGATTTTTTCTACAAAAAAAAAATTATTTTTGATTATTTAGTCAAATTAACGCAACTCGTAAGTTTTAAACCCACTTTTCTATGTCATATTATAGGAAAAAACTGATGGAAACTACTTTAAAACATTAAAAAAAACATGAAACTTTTAATATAATAAACCAAAATTACTGTACCATTTCAAAAAAAAGTCTGTACAATGCTAGAAAGCCTAAATGTCTCACTTTGCCCCAGTGTCTCGCTTTGCCCCAGGTTACCCTGTATATAATCTCTGTAATAGTATTAAAAAATAATACTTTCTTATTTATAAATTTAAAATAAATAAATGAGAAAGAGGTGGAAATGTTTTATCGACGTGGAAAACCATATAAACAATCTGTTTTTCAGTTTTTACTCTTCTTAGAGTCCTTAGACCCTTAAATTTGGTAAAAATGTTCATTTTTATGCATAGAACTAGGATATATTTATAACCCAAAAAAAAATTTTTTTGGGACACCTTACTCTGCATAGACGTTTTTTTTTTTAAGAGTTTGTTATTAGATTTATTTATTTTTTGCATTGCAACACCCACCAAACTCTAACACTGACCCTGGTTATTATTAGAAAAATTTGTTACCTCAAATTGATATTTAATAATGTAATCAACTTTTTAACAATGTTTTTCATTACTGCCATATTTAGGGAAAGGGCTCTGTTGTTACGTATTTTCTGGCTGGTTACGATGGATTTGATAAGAATCTTCCGAATTTAAGATATGCAGCGCCATCTAAGGATCATTCAATTCAATAAATAAAGTTTGCTTCTAGCTTTTTATTGCGAAAATAGTTTGTAATCGATTTCTGGAACTTAAACCGAACTTTAAATAAAAAATGCAAAAGAAAAATATTGCGTATGTCAACTAATTTGTCAACGAAGATCTTAACTTTTTCTGGCGATTAAGACTATTTTTATTGTCTTATTTTTTTACAAAAAAAATTAAGTTTACTCTTGTTTTTACACCTCTAACAGATTTTGAGTTTTTTTACAGTTTTAAATGGTCAAACGGTTTTCAAATACCAAACCTCTTATAAGCATTTCTTTTATCGGTATATATTTGCATATAATAGTATAATTGTTAAATAGTATAATTATTTTTTTATATTTGAAATTAGTTGCTGAAACTGAAACTTGTTTTTTCAATTTGCTTTATTGGCCTTCCGTAGAACGTGATCTCTTAAGTTTTTACTTAGTTTAAAAATTGCTAAAAAGCTTTATTGTTAAAAACATCAAAATATTGTTTGTGGTTGTTGAAATACAACATAATTAAAAATTAATTGTATTGATTCATAAGTTTTTTGTAACGAAACCAATGATAGTAGTAAATATTATCGTAAACTTGATAAAATAAGAAATGGTGAAAGTTTTGATTCCTTTCCATTTTCTGTTGCATTATTTTTTTTATTGTTGTTTTTTTATTTTTATTTGCTTTTCATTCTTTATTACAATTACTGATCTCAAAGTATAACTGGATAGCGGATTCTATTGAATAATTCAATTTATTATTGGCATTTACAATTTTAGTTAAATTTTGTGTATAATTTATGTACCTTTTAGTTCTTAGTTACTCAATGCTGTATGCTAGAAGGTTAATAACATAGCAGCATGGTAAGCAGCAATCATCTCTACCTACAATTTTAAATTCTCTATTTTTTGTAGCAAGATACCATTATGTACAAATGCTGCATGAACTATTAACTGAGTGCTGTCTGAAATATATTATAATTCTATTATTGCATAAATTATTTGAATAAAACATTCTAAATTTTGCATACATCTTCAAACAAACATTTGTTTAAAAAAAAAAATTTATCAAATTTTTAATATAGAAATATGAAAACACCTTTGAAATATACCATTAACTAAAGTTATATATACAGTTTACCTGCTGTTGAATATTATGGTTATATATTATTAAACTGTATGTTGCAGTTAAATAATTGTATAAATATGTTGTTGAGTTTATTTGCACAATAGATTGATTACATCACATATTAAATTCACAAAACCGACTTGCAGCAATGCTCTTTGTTTTCCATTTCTTGACATGGTATATAACTATATCATTAGTCTTAAAGAGATTAACCGTTACGAAAATGAATTTGTCTAGCCTAAAAACTGGTTTCATTGGATATTCGGTAGCAATTAAAATATATATCTCGACTGAGTAGAAAAGAAGGTTTGCCATAAAATTATTTAACATAAAACCTCAGTCAAAACCATCTAACAAGTTCTTTATTGTGCTGTGAGATCTTATTTAGCTGTGAGATCTGACAGAATGTTTAACAACAATATCAATTGCCAACAGTTTACAGCCACATTAAACAACACTTAATATGAATTAGGGTTCAATTTTCAAATGGAAACTGCAGCATCAAAGATGAAACTCATATTTCAAAAATTTTAGACAATTCTTTTGCTCAATCCAGTACTAAAATATCTTACAAAAATTGGTTTAACAAAAAATATGATTTGTTAAAGAGAAAACCAACTAATAGTGACCACAAATATGCAGATATTCCAAATTGCAGCATTTTATCTAAATACAAATAAGCTTTGTTCTTATATATTGCCAGATATATAGCTGAAATGGCATCAAAAAAAAATATCTCCATTATATATATATATATATATATATATATATATATATATATATATATATATATATATATATATATATATATATATATATATATATATATATATATATATATATATTTGAAAAACTAATTTATAATAGTTTAAATTTATAATAGTTTAACTAATTTATAATAATCAATTATTATTTTAAAAAGATATTCAGCTGCCTACCATGCAGTTTTGTTAGTAACCTTCTAGCACACAGCATTGGGTAGTAAAGAACTAAAAGGTACATAAATTTGTACAAAAAACAATAACAAAGAATTAATTTATTGTAAAACTAAAATTGAAAGAAAGTAAATAAATGAAATATAAATAAAAAATGATTAAAATTATATCAGTTTTTCACATTTAAAATAATTATTAGAAAGTTGTTTAAAAATTGTTAAATTGGATAACTACTAGGTTTATATTTGCTTTTTATTTCTACTGATAGCTTATAACTAGTTATGAAATATTAGTGTAAATAATAGTTAACTACTAGGTTATAGGTGTAATTCTTTACTAATGTTAAATAATCTAATTTTTAATTAATTTAACTAAAAAAATTTATCTTCTTTAATTAAATTAAAAAAAAGAAAGATATTACACAAACTTATTGTTTGAGTAAATTACTAAGAGTATAATATTTATTGCAATATATATTGTATGAGTATAATATTTATTAGTAATATATATAATATATATTACTAATAATACATATATCACAATATATTATATCGTGATATATGTATTAGTAATATATATTGTGATATTATAAGAGTATAATATTTATTAGTAATATTGTTTGAGTAGATTATTGTTAAACAAAATATTATATATGATTCGATGAATGTTAAAAGGGCGGAAGTCACATATTTTGCAAAATTGACTTTTTTGCAAATTTGTACATTCAAAAAATAGCTCCATCATTTTGTGTTAAAAAGGTGTAAGTCAAAAATTTTCTCTAGCCTGTACAGTGTCTAAAAGTTTTGGTTTTTTGTTAAAAGGGCTGAAGTCCGGACTTCAGCCCTTTTAACAAAAAACAAGAAACTTTGCGCTAAAAACAGCGGACCAAACGTAAACTTATTTTGTCGTTTTGACTGTGCAACAGCGTGGTGAATAAAGTTGATTTATTACGTTTGATCATTTTAATAATGATTTAAGTTGATTAACTGCTTTTTTAAATGGATGATAGTGTTAGTGAGTCTGATCATACAAATTATAAAAAAAGATAAGAAACCATTAATTGAGTTGACAGTACATAGCAGACGCGCAAAAAATTTTAGCAAGCCATAAAACAAGATAAGCAGGACGCTAGGGAAGAAAAAATGTAAATGTTTTGTCCCTAGCAGTAGATTTAATGCAAAACATTTCACTGCCCAAAACAAATGTGCAAGAGTTAATTTACCTAAAGCAGTTAACGGTTAGTGTATTTTCTATTCATGATGTGAAGAGAAACCTTGCAACATTCTACCTTTATCACGAGGGGAAAGCTAAAAAGTCTCTAAATGAAACTTGCTCCTTTCAATTGCACTACCTGTCTATCTTACGTATGATGAACTCAACTTTTATGCCGATAATTGTAAGGGGGGGGGGCTAAATAAAAACCATGTTTCAAACCTTTTTATGGCGCTTACTGATAAGCGGAATAAAAAGATCAATCAATTTTTTCCAAACAAAGGACACAACATTTTGCCCTGTGACCGTGACTTTTCAATTATAAAAAAAGAGTTAAGAAGGCATGACAGAGTAAACAGCGTATAAGAAATTAAAAAAATTATTTTAAAAAGTAGTAATCAATACAAGTTTTTAGTGGTTAATGTAGAGAGTTCATCTCTAGTTTACGATGTTAAAAGTTGGTGGCCAGTCCACTATAAAAGAAAGGTTACTTCAATTGAAACAATGGGTAAACCTAGAAACCAATAAACTCAGTTTGCAATAAGCAAATTTCACCGTTTTTAATACGATTGCGACAACATAGGTCAATGTAAAGCCGGTGAAATTATCAATTGCATTGTCAACCATACTTTTATTATGAGAAAAAGTACTTAAAACAAAGTGAACCTGCTAGAACAGCTTCTTTACCCAAACGGAAAAGTTCCAATAAAGTCTGCTAAATTGAATGACTTAAGAAAGTATATTCCACATGATCATATTGATTTTTATAATGAACTACTGCAATGGCCTACAGCAGATAGCAACGATGGAGAAGCAAAAGATGCTGGGAAAAATGATTAAGCATAGTCGATAAAATTTCTGTAATAGACCTTTTTTTCCTTAAAATTTTTGTTAAAATGTATAAACAATTCATAAATATAAATTTTGTAAAAATTTATTGCAGTTTATGACATTATTTTTTGTAGCTCAAAATTAAAATCATAACAATATAAGCAGTAATTATTTGTTGAATGTTAAAAGGGCTGAAGTCCACAGTGTTAATTGGTTTATTGTTCCTTTAAAAATAAATATAAAAAAATATATTTTTGCTTTTAAGATGAAAAACATTATCCCCTTCAAAAAAAATTGTTAAACCATTAACAAAAATTTACTGAGGAAGCAGTGCTGTTTTTTTAGTTTCCCAAAAGTTTACATCGTTGGACTTCCGCCCTTTTAACATTCACCGATTCATATATTTTAGAAATTTACGTAAATATGTATTATTGTGTTTCTTTCTAAAACAATTTCTATGTAGAACCGAAAATTGCATTTTTGTTTGAGGCTTGTACATTTATTTTTATATTAAAAAAATATAAAAGTTCTTAACAATTTCTAAATTTGTAATAAACCAAATACGCCGCCTACTTGGGAGGCCAAAACTGGCTTCAAAAAATTTGCTGTATACGCTATCCAATTATATTTTGAGATCAGTGATTACAATATATAAATAAAGATACAAATAAATAAAAAAAAAAGTATAAAAAAAGCGGATTCATCATGTTTATTTATTTTTTTCTTGCTATGTTGTGTTTCACATAACAAGAAAAAAATTTTAAACGTAATATTTCTAAATAAATATCACGTCTAAAATGGCCAATATTTAAAAAATAAAATGCAGATAAATATGTCCAAAATTTTAAAAATTTTTGCGCCCACATAATCTCATTTGTCGGATATAATGGGATTGGAAATTTGTTTGTTAAATACGATTATTAAATATAT